TGGAGCATTCCAAGCGGGCCCCAAGTCGGCCCATAGAGGCCCCCCAAACGGCTTCCGACGGCTTCAGACGTGCCAGGAACCCACCAAGATGGCCGAAGTTGGCTCGAAGCTGGCCCGAGACGGCCCAAAAAGCCCCAAAGATCGCCCAAAGCTTGCCCAAGAGGCCTCCAAGACGGCCAAGATGACCTTCAAGATGCCCACGTGTTCCCCGAAGGCTTTCCAAACCGATTCGGGGAACACGTGGTCCGATAGCTTGGCGGGTCTGGCCTCAACGTTCGGCCACATAGGCGCTTCCAAAAAGGCAGGGGGCGGCGGTGATTCGCCGTAGGCGTCTTCGATCCGCCGCCCCCTTTTGATTTATCAAAGGGGTGCCTGGCGTGCCGACCTATATAGCTGTTGGTTTGGGTTCTTTTTCCAAAAAGAACTCCCCCTAAGGCTTCGGCCAGTCCCGCCAGCAACCCGGAAGACCCGGTTGCCAACGGTTTTCCTGCCCCAGACGGCCCCAAGATGGCCTCCAAGGCGGCCAAGATGTCCCAGGATAGCCTCCAAGTTGCTCCAAGACGGCCAAGATGGCCTCAGAGACGGATAAGATGGCTCCAATATGCCCTCCAAGACGCCCAAGATGGCCTCAAGATGGTCTAAGACGGCCCAAAAGGCCCGCAAGAGGCCTCCAAGACGGCCCAAGAGGTCTCCAAGAGGTCCTCCAGGAAGGCCCGACGAGGCCAAAATCATTCAGTTTCCTTAGGTTTTTGAAGGATTTTGGCATTTGTGTCTCTTCGGCTTTCCGACGGCCCAAGACGGCCCAAGAGGTGCCCAAGATCGCACAAGAGGCCCCCAAGAGGGCCCCAGGACGGCCCAAGTGGCCTCCAAGACGGCCCCAAGAGGGCCCAAGACGGCCCAAGAGGCCTCCAACACGCCCAAGATGCCCTCCAAGACGCCCGAGATGGCCTCCAAGACGGCCCCGAAGCGCCCCAAGAGGGCCCCCAGTCGGCCCAGAAAGGCCCCCAAGATGGCTCCCGACGGCGTCAGACGTGCCAGGAACCCAACAAGATGGCCGAAGTTGGCTCGAAGCTGGCCCAAGACGGCCCAAGAGGCCCCCAAGAGGGCCTCCAGGAAGGCCAGACGAGGCCAAAAACCTTGATTGTCCTAAAGTGTTTGACGGATTTTGACATTTGCTTCTTTTCGGCTTTCCGACGGCCCGAGACGGCCCAAGAGCCCCCAAAGATCGCCGAAAGATCGCCCAAGAGGCCTCCAAGATGGCCCCAGAACGGCCCAAGAGGGCCCCAAGACGGCCCCAAGAGGCCCCCAAGACGGCACAGGAGGCCTTTAAGTCGCCCAAGATGGCCTCCAAGACGGCCCTGGAGCATTCCAAGAGGGCTCCAAGTCGGCCCATAGAGGCCCCCCAAACGGCTTCCGACGGCGTCAGACGGACCAGGAGCCCACCAAGACGGCCGAACATGGCCCTAATATGGCCCAAGACGGCCCAAGAGGCCTCCAAGAGGGCCTCCAGGAAGGCCATAAAAGGCCAAAATCATTGATCTCGTTTTTGAAGGGTTGTGGCATTTGCTTTTGTCTGCCTTCCGACGGCCCGAGACAGCCCAAGAGCCCCCAAAGATTGCCCAAGAGGCCCAAGACACGGCCCCAAGGCCCCCAAGACGGCCCAAGAGGTCCCCCAGACGCTCAAGATGGCCTCCAAGACAGTCCAAGAGCCCTCCAAGACGTCCTCCAATAAGGCCCGAAAGGGTCAAAATGACCTCCAGACGGCCAAGATGACCTTCAAGATGCCCACGTGTTCTCCGAAGGCTTTCCAAACCGATTCGGGGAACACATGGTCCGATAGCTTGGCAGGTCTGGCCTCAACGTTCGGCCACATAGGCGCTTCCAAAAAGGCAGGGGGCGGCGGTGATTCGCCGTAGGCGTCTTCGATCCGCCGCCCCCTGTCGATTCATCGCAGGGGTGCCTGGCGTGCCAAACTATTTCGGTTTCGGTTTTGGTTCTTTTCCAAAAGAACTCCCCCTGGGGCTTCGGCCCGTCCCGCCGGCACCCGAAAGGCGCGCAACTCTAGATTTTGTTCTCATTCCAGATGGCCCTAGATGGTCTCCAAGATGGCCACGCTGGCCCAAGACGGCCTCCAAGATGGTCCAAGATGGCCTCCAAGTCCGCCCAAGATGGTCCAAGACGGCCTCCCAGACGGCCCAAGAGAGTCCAAGACGGTCCAAGACGGCCCAAGAGGCGCCCCAGAGGCCTCCAAGACGGCCAGAGAGGCCTCCAAGAGGTCCCCCAGGAGGGCCCGAAGAGGCCAAAAGCATTGATTGTCCTTAATTGTTGAAGGATTTGAGCATTCGCTTCGTCTCGGCTTCCCGACGACCGCCCAAGAGGCCCCCAAGATCGCCCCCACAGCGCCCAAGAGGCCTCCAAGATGACCTCAGGACTGCCCAAGAGGCCCCCAAGACGGCCCCAAGAGGGCACAAAGCCGACCCAAGAGGCCTCCAAGAACCCCAAGATGGCCTCTAAGACGGCCCTGGAGCACCCCAAGAGGGCCCCAAGTCGGCCCAGAAAGGCCCCCCAAACGGCTTCCGACGGCGTCAGACGGGCCAGGAGCCCACCAAGATGGCCGAAGTTTGCTCGATGCTGGCCCAAGACGGCCCCAGAGGCCTCCAAGAGGGCCTCCAGGAAGGCCAGAAAAGGCCAACAACATTGATTTCCCTTAGGGGTTCGAGGGATTTTGACATTTGCTTCGTTTCGGCCTTTCGACGGCCCGATACGGCCCAAGAGCCCCCAAAGATCGCCCAAAGATCGTCCAAGAGGCCTCCAAGATGGCCCCAGAACGGCCCAAGAGGCCACCAAGACTCTGGGAGGAGGCTGGGAGGGCGGGGTGAGCGGGGAGGTCTGTGTCGGAAGGCGCGGCCATCGGGGCCCGCAGCAGGATGCAGCTCCTCCCCCGCACCCGTCTGGTGCAGAGTCGCCCACGCCTGGCCCAACGCGCGCCCAGCTCGGACGGCACTTGAGGCCCCTCGCCGAAGGCGACGGCCCTGCCTGGCGGACGACTGCCTCTCGCTGCTACGATGGCCCCCTTGCGGTGGTGTGAACAGAGGGCAGAGCACAGGGCGGGGTGAGAAGGCAGAGAAAGAGCAAGGGGCATAGGGCCACGCAAACAAGCAGACACTCTCTCTCTCACACACATCCACACATACACGCACACTCACACACACACACTCACACACACAACACACAACACACACACAACACACACAACGCACACAACACGCACACAACACAACACACACAACACACAACACACAACACACAACACACACAACACACACAACACACAACACACAGACACACACACAAACACACACACAGACACACCCACACACACACACGAATCCCAAGACTCCTTGTGCTGTTCAGCGTTCTCTGGACTTTCGTCTTCCCTCCACTTCCCAGGCGCTCCAATCTTTCCCGGGGCATAGGCGTTGATTTACGTGCGTGTGTTGTGTTGCCCCCGCCCGAGAGAATGCAGGGAGGCGGGGAGGGAACCGCCGAGAGAGCCGCGCGCGCGTCCGCCCGCCGACTCCGCCCCCTTCTCGCTCCTCGCCGCCATGCGCCCGCCCGGGGGTGACGCACCACGGCCCGCAAGAGTAACGCAGCCTTCGTCACGGCCCGTGCCGTCGGCGATCGTGGGTCGGGGCTCGAGGCTGTCTCGTCGTGCGTGGGGCATCTGGCGGCTGTCCGGAGGGCCGTAGGGGGAGTGCTGCTTGCGTCACGTCTGCGTCGAGGGCGCACGTCTGACTTCAGATGGCGAGACGCCTCAGAGTCAGAATAAATGTTTGGTCATTGAACCTCTCGCTTCAAATCGTCAATGGTTGACTTGAGAGCGATCTTATCCATAGTCTCGGAAAGCACGATGACAGCGTTGAGAGCACGACAAGTCGTGGAATGCACGGGAGGATCCTGAAGAACCGAACCTGATGCCGGAGAGTTGAACGATTCTCTTACGAGTGCCGGGTCACACTCAAATCCACGATTACCGGAGACGCCGTCGGCCTTGCCAGAGGGCCAAACCTATCAAACATGTAAACGTCAACGTCCTCCCTCATCTCCCCTCGAGGATGTCGAGGTCCTCCGCCCCCTGACATCCGACGCTTCGATTTCTGATCGGCGGTCACCCGGTACTCTCGACGCCATTCCCCAACTGTTCTAGAAGAAGAAGAAGGAACATAATAATCAGAAGCAGAACAAGGATAATGATAAGAAGGAAAAAGAAACGGAAGGCGGCATGAACACAAACTGTCAGAGCTCCTCGCGGATTTCTTGGATTGGCACCAAAGGTGCCGCCAGGGGGGTCCACCGCAGGTCGGAGAACACCGCGGAGGGCTGCGAAAGCTGATGCTGGTGCGGTGTTCTCTTCTTCCAGATTCATGCTTATGTGAGGTCTGTCCAGATTCACGCTTATGTGAGGTCCGCCTCCTTCGAGACAAACCGGCCGTGAGGCGCCAGGATGCCTCGGCACTCACCCCTCCCCAGAGATCCGATGCTGATGTTTTGGTTTTCTCGAGACGGGGTCCCAAGAAGTCTCCTCTCGACACACTCCTGGGGACGGGCTTGCCCCGAGGCCGACAGCTGCAAAAGACCTCCTTCTCTTGAATTTTTCAATGCATTGGATCTCTGGGTTCGGGGACCCAGGTCAATGCAAACCCAGGTCAGTCGAGCGTTGCAGGATCACGCAACATCGTGCTGGATCCTGCGGGATCCCACGCGTGGACCCGGATCAGTGCACCCCTGGCACTGCAGAATCCTGCAAGCTCTGGCGCTCTGGCTGGCCCCCATTCGCACTGACCCCCCCCCCCTATCAAGGCTCCCGCTCCTGCTGGCTCCAGAAGGAGCCCTCCAGGGCACTCCAGGGGGCCCTTCTCTGCAGCCACCCGTGAGGCCACCCCCCGGCAGCACCCGCCCGACCCTCTGGCCCTCACAAGGCCGCCGCCCCGCGCGCTGGCCTCTGGAGCCACCGCGAGCGCGTGCCGCCCGTGCCCGAGCTGCGCCTCCGCCCTGGCGCGGGCTCCGCCCGGGGGCTCCTCTGCTCGGGGGCGGCGCGGGCCGCAGGAGGGCTGGCCAAGGCCGCGACGGCCTTCCCTGGCGTGTTTTGGTTGCGGGCTCTCGCGGGGCCTGCTCGAGGCTCCCCTTGCAGGGCGGGTCAGGAGCAAGGCGAAGCCAGGACGAGGATGACATCGGGTGGGGAGAGATCGAGGAGCTCTGAGATCCAGCGGCTCAGGGAACCGCGCGGCCTTCTCAGAGCGGCGGCCGCGGCCTTCTCTCGGAGCGCTCCGCTCCGAGAGCGTTCTGGAACGCTCCAGGACGGACTTCTCCTCGTCCTCTGGCCCCGCCCGAGGCGGCCCTGCCTGGCGTTTTAGGGCCCCTGCTGGCCTGCAGGGTGCCTCCCGTCGCAGCGTCTCGGTCCGCCTCGGAAGCCGGGCCCGGCTGGACCCCGGGCTGTGGGGTCCAGGGGCCAATGTCGCAAGGATAGAGACCTCCTAGATGGGGTCCGAGTAGATGGGGTCGAAGGATCGCGCCGTATCGCCAATGCATCGCCGATGTATCGGCGATGCATCGGCGATGCATCGGCGGTGCATCGGCGACGTCGGCGTGGGGAAACACGGGCTCCACATCGAGCCGCATCGGCGATGTATCGGCGATGCGGCGCGATCCTCCGACCCCATCTACTCGGACCCCATCCAGGAGGCCTAGAAAGGATCTGTCCGGGCCGGGTGGGGGAGCCGCCGAAGCCTCAGCCGCGGCCCTCCCCCGAAAGGGGGCGACCCGGGGAAGCTGCGACTCCGGCTCCCTCGTTCCCTCGCCACGCCTGGTGGGCTGGGGCACCTCCGCGCTTAGCGGGCCCTGGAAACGTCAGGGTCGTTTTTTTACGGTTCCGTTTTGCCGTTTTTGTTGCCGGTTCCGACGCCGTTTTTGTTACCGGTTCCGTCTCCGTTTTTTGACCGGTTCGAGCTCCGGTTCCAATCCTGGAGCCGTTTTTTTGCCGTTTCCTGTCGCCGTTTTTTCGCCGTTTCCATGTTCAAGGGACATTGTTCTGGAAACGGTGAAAAAACGGCCCTGCCGTTCCTGGGGCCCACAAAGCCTCCGCGACACGGGCCTGCTCCTCGAGTTGGGGGGCAACTGCTGGGAGGCTCTCACACGGGCTATTTTTTTGGCCCGAGCCACGGGCCGCTGGGCCGCATCGGCCCAGGAGTGAGCTCAGCCACACTGGATGACGCGGGGTTGAGCGTGACTTCGCGGACTTGAGCGGGAGTGTGCCAGATTAGGCCTCCCACTCATTGAATCCTTACTCGTGTAGGGATACACGCGGCGACGACCGGCTCAGCGGGCATCTGTCCCCACGTGGCGGAGCGTTTCGGACGCGGGGGGGCCGATGCACTCCCCGTGGGGATGGGCTAGGTCCAGCGGTGCTCACAGGCGCCGTCAACTTTTGCTCGACGTGGGCTCCAAGAGCCTTCGGCCCCGTGATTGCCAGTGCGCAGGTCGTGCGGACCTTGTATGGAGTTTCGGGAGGCGGTTGCCTTGTAAGACAACATGCGCGCGCCGCGGCCGTTCCAGAGCACTCGGGCTTGCTCTGAGAACGCTCCACACATAGGGGAATCGAAAGGTACCGATACCGCTACTTCCCGGACCTCTCCTAGAGTGCTTGCTGGTCGGTGGCGACGAAGGCCTCCCAGAAGGCTCCCAAAAGCGAAAACGAGGCAAAGGTAACGGTATCTGTACATACCGTTTCCTCTCTGAACACCGCTCTGGAGCGACTAACCCTCATCCCGCAACCCCCAACGTCATGATTTTTCCATGACGTCGGCCCCAAGAAGTCTCGACCCATTCCCCGGGACCGGCTCTGTCCCAAGTCGTTTTCTGACGGCCCCGAGGCCTGGTGACGGCCCCCAGAGGCCCCAAATACGCGAACACCTTCCGCCGTGTTTTTTTGCATGATCCGAGGGAGTCTGGCTTCGTAGAGATCGGCCGCAGTGGCGCATCAACCAGGTAACCCAACCTCGCGCTCTCCCCGCCTCGCGACGCGCGGTCCTCTGCGCTCCCGCGCTGGCCTTTTCCTGGGGGAGGGTAGCGGCCAAAATGGAGGCGGACTATGTTTGGTGTGATTTGGCGCCCTGGAGCAACTTACGGCAGGATCGTGCGGCGCCTGCGCGCGCAAACGATTTCACACCGCTTCGTTTGAACTTGAAGCGATCGCGGCCTCGATGGTTCAAAGTTGAATTCCGTCGGATCCTGCGGCATTGCTGTGCCCCTCAGCCCTTCAGCGTCTTTCTATGTTGCGGAAAATCAGCTTGGAACGCGTTCGCCGGCGTCGCTGGCGCACCATCGCCGCATGAACCTACCGTATCTCGAAAAAACATGACATAAACATAAACTCTCAGTTCCGCGCGGAATTCCTTGATCGGCGTGGGGGCCTCTTGCGGCGCCTTTGGCGCCGCCCGTGACGCGCTCCGAACGAAAAGGGAGGGGGGTCCAGCGCCGATCCAAGAAAGTCCTCGCGGACCTCCGAAAGTTCATAATAGTGTAATTTGATGTTGCTCGATTGCCCTCATCGTGGACCTGCTTGGTTTAGAGTCGGTAGCTATATGGCCTCTACTTGGGAGACACGGCGACCTCGGCAGCCCGTGGTGCCTGGGTTGAAAGGAGGCCCAAGAGGGAGCGCTCGCCCTTGACATCTCGCCATCCTTTCTGCCTTCGGGAGAAAACAGGACCACGGCCTGCGCGCCCTGACATCCTGGCGTCGTGAGAAAAATCACGCTGGCGGGTTTTTGGGCGTCTGATGCCTCTGGGGGCCCTGGCCAGGACACGGGGGCCACCGAACAACGACTCGGGATCAAAACAAGGCCCAAAGGGAAAAGGGGCCAGACCTGTGGGGACCCGCAACCATCGCGACGTCGGAGGCCTGGACAGCCCCAGAGGAGTACAAGACGAGCGTGGCCCTTCACTGCGCAGCCCTGGAGGACAACAAGACGAGCGTGACCCTCGAGACCCCTGGAAGCACACCTCGGGCTCCTCCATCATGGGCGGCAGCAACAACCCTGGATCCAAACGAACTGGCGTCTCGCTTGTGCCTCCGCGGGCTTCCGCCCGCGGACCCGGCCGACGTTTTACTTCCACCGGCTTCCGCCGAAGTGCGAAGATGCGCTGAAGGCAAGGCGCTGCAATGCCCTGTACGACCGTCTGTGGCAGAATCAGGACACGTGCCTCATGAGCGAACAGCAGGCCCTGCTCTGGATCGGTTTCGGAAGCCAAGGGTGATCGAAACAGCAGGGGGACGAGGAGGAAGAGGAGGAGGAGGAGGAGGAGGAGGAGGTCGACGAGGAGGAGGACGAGGAGGAGGAAAAGGAGGAGGAGGAGGCAGGTCAGAGAAGGGGGGCTAACAAGTGGAGAAAGGGAAGGGGGGCGAGGAGGACAAAGGGGGAGGAAAGCTGTCCGACTCGGCCTGGCAAGCCCGGCTACCTGGTGCTGCCATACACGCAGAGCGCGGCATGCTACCGAAGCCCCCACCCCTTGCGCCAGCTCGGACTGGCGGAGCTGAAGTTAGGGGGGGACCGGAAAATTCGCACGCAGGCTTTCAACTCCCTCGGCGCAGGAGGAGGAGGAGGAGGAGGAGGAGGAGGAGGAGGAGGAGGAGGAAGGAAGGGGGAGGAGGAGGAGCAGGAGGGGCAGGAGGGGCAGGAGGAGGAGGAAGAGGAGGAGGAGGAGGAGGAGGAGGAGGAGGAGGAGGCGGAGCGTACCCCCCGGCACGAATATGTCGACGCAGAAGCCCTCGACGGTGGTCCCCAAAGCCGGCTGAAGATGCCGTCCTAGAGGCCCACGACAGCGGCTTCGAGAAGAAGGCAAAGGACACAAGAGTAACGACACCCACCTCAGTCAATATCTGGTTCGACCTCCCACCCAGGGGGCATTGGACCAAGAGCCTGGAGAAGGAGCTACTTTACCACATCGTTTCCGATGATCTCATCGTATTTGCAGTCAATCGGCGAGGAGCGATGCTCGATCTTGGAAGGCCCTGCACTTGTGGGATGGCCGAACGATGCTCGATCTTGGCGGGACGCTGCTTGTCCAGCGTGGTCTCGGCAGATGAGCTCGCCTGAGCACGAGAGCTCTCGTCGATCAGGCGTCCTTGAGGATGCTCAAACACGCAATCTGTACGATGGCATGCTCTCCCGTACTTGCAAGCGCCAATGCCAGGTGACCGACCACGACGATCGGAGTCGCCACGCAAGGATTCAGACCGAGCCCGCGGAAGAGGCGCCAGTTCGTAATTAGAAAGTTTGTCCCACAATTCCTTAACACGAGCATCTAAGGGGGAATACTTGGTAGCAACGAGATCAATAACACCATCAATCTGTGAAGCGACACCCAGCGATGACATAGTCTCAACCGTATTCTTGACAATCTCAGGCATCTTGCCAGACAACATGTGAAGAGAATATTTGAGTCCTTGCGCCAACCTGGCATCGACCTTGAGAGGGACTTCGGCCAGCTGTGACTGCAGGCTAGTAACTTCACTCTGCAAAGCTGTGACAGTGTCTGGAAGAGGCTGAGCGTCTGTGTTAGCTTTAGCCGACCTGCCCTGCTCAACACTTTGAAACTGAGACTCCATAAAGCAAGGGCGACCGCTCAGCTCGGAAATCTGTTCATCGAGCGGACTGCCAGAACCAACAGAGCCAGAACTAGTACTGGTGGACCGAGGCCGGTTCCCAGTAGTGGCGTCGTAGTCCTGAACATCGTCCGATGGTCCTTCGGTAGGACACCGCCCGCAGCCAACAGGAATGGGTGCCCGAGGCGAGGCCTGGCGCAACCTGCTGACAGAGCGAAGTAAGATACGACAGAAAATAGCTTGACAGTGTGTTGGTCCGTCAGAGAGCCCCTTGGGAGATGCTGCGTCGATTTTGTCCAGTAACCCTCGGAGCTTAGCAATTGTGTTATTCTGAGACTCCGCCAAGTTAGCATAAGAAAGAAGTTGTGAATCATAGACAGCTTGAGCGGACGCCAAGGCCTGAGGCACAGACCATGCGGCCTGATACGAGGCCGACTGTGCAGGATCGGGGGCGCCCTCTCCCAGCAAAAGAGGCTGCGGGATAAATGCCGCGGCCGTCGGGTCCAGCTCGCTGCCTTGAGGCCGAGTGCGATACCGCGGGGCAACAACCACAGACGAGGACAAAGAACGATCCAGTTCGACATTGTGCTCATTACCGAAAACCTCAATTAAGAAATCATACATACTCTGCTGTGTGATGTGCTCGCAAAGATGGTAGGCAAAGTCGATCTTGATAATCTTATTTCGTAGTTTGGGAGACAGACTTTCTGAGGCACGCGCCGCTGCTGACAACCCTTGGAAATGGGTCCCATTCCGGTGCGCCAGACCACGTAGAAGCTGTCCTCGAAGCGAAGAGATCAACTCGCGTGCATCCAGAAGCAAAGGCATCGGAAACACAAGAACAAAACACTGGGCTATACAGCAATTTCCGCTTGCGCCACAATGGCTACGGAGGAGGAGGAGGAGGAGGAGGAGGACCAGTGTAAACCCACAGCCCAGGAGGGTGCTCCTGCGCTGGCGCGGTCCTCCCCTGGTCGGCGCCAGCGCCGGGGCAGTCTGCGCCTGCGGCAGCCTCGTCCTTGCCAGGGGGGGCGCTGCGCTCCTCCCCGCCCTGTTGAAAGGACGGCGCTGCTATTGCTCGCTGGCTCGTGCGAGTGCTCGCGTGAGTGTTCCAACGCGTTGCGGGATTGCTCGTGTGATTGCTCGCGTGCATCCTAAGATGTCCGCACTTGTTCTCTCGCGTATTTCTGTGCACGTGCGCATACATCGTTACTTCGGTATTCCAGTGTTTGCTTGGTTGCCTGCTTTCCTAGCTGCATCCTTTGTTTCCGTACTGCTGTTCGTGCTCCATTGCCGCATTCGGGGGCCTCTCGGGGGCCCTGTGCAGAGGCATAGAGGAGCCTTTGAGGTCCATCGTGGCGGTATCCTGGGGCCACTCCCGCGTGCGGCGAGTGGGAAAAGTGTCCCCTCTCCTCTCAGCCTGGCCTTGCCACGCCCTGAAATCCTTGCCACGCCATGGCGTCTTGGGTCTCGACTCGGCTTTCCTTTCTCTATCAATCTTGCCTTGCATTGTTTTTGCTTGCGCTGAAGTGCCCTACGCCCCTGGCCCCCAGGCCTGTACCTCACTCGTACAGGGCGGCGTGCCTGGGCGGCTGAAGATGCGTCGTTCTCGCCAGGAAGAATGGGAGTAAGAGGAGGAAGAGGATGAGGATGAGGAGGATGAGGAGGAGGAGGAGGAGGAGGGGGAGGAGGAAAAAACAGAGCCCAAATCGAGTCTTTGCTTGAAGACCGAAGACGCCCGTGAAACATTAGGCGACGCTGAACGAAACCTCTGAGACCGAATCGGGGCGGCCGAGCGTGAAAGCCGGCAGGCCTGGCCCGAGTGGGCTGCCTGCGCGGCGCTACATGACGCAGTGCGCATGGCTTCCCACGCGCCGCGACCCAAAGGTAAGCGGCGAGGACGCACCCAACACCACCTGCGGCGGAGGGGGACGAGGAGGAGCAAAAGACGGAAAGGCTGGGTGGAGAAGGGGAGGCGAGCGACGCGCCCGTTTTGGGGTGGAACCCCGACATCACTTGGGCCAGAGCGGCCAACTGTGCCGTCTTGAGGGGCCACGCCTTCGAGACGGCCAGACGTAACGCACGAAGCTGGCATGCGGTGTGAGAAGGAAGCACAGCATCAGCAGACGAGCGCATGCCCGACCTGCACCACCTGGTGTTCGTGTTCGGAAAAACGGCTCATGTCACTGGGTGGATCGGCACGACCACGCTCTCAAGCGGCCCATCCGATCCGGCTTCCTCCCCATCGACGTGAAGGGCGGGGGCGGCCAAGAGCGCAGGCCCCACGATGACGCCCGCTCCCTACGCCCCCTCCGCCTGGCATCATCCAGATACAGAGCTTCGCCGAACCTACGCTCATGCGCGGGCTCACACAATCCGTGCGACCGATCCACAGAAAAAAAACGAAGCGCGAGCTCAATGCAAGCCGAACGATTGCACCCTCTGCAACGCACCTCGCCCGTGTCCAGAAGTCGCACAGACTGATGCTGGGACGAACTGAAGGCTACGCGCGGGCCGCTGTTAGGCCGTTCGACTTCTCCTGGATCCAGATCCCAAACTTTGCAATCAATCCTGGCCAAAACAAGCCCCAAGAGATGTACGTGAGACTACGCGGCCCCAGCTTGGAGATCGAATCCGTCAGAATGCTTGTCCAACAACGGGTGGGAAAAGGGCTCCGAGGCGGGCGAAATAATCGGTTTACAAACTCCCTTGCACACCTAACACTGACACACCTTTTTCCAGCGCGCCGTCAACCGTGAGGTGGGACGGAACCTAAACATGCTCGGGCACATATTTTTTCTCCGCCGCCTGAAATAGCGAGCGCACTTGCTTGGGCAAGTGCCCCTGGGCGAAGCGAGGCAAGGGTCCCCCCCTCGACCTTCCCTGGACAAACCTGCGCAAATCGCTGGCAATGAGCATCGTAACCGGAAAGAGTTGCACGACGCGAAGACCCGCCACTCGCTCTGCTAGGGCTGCGGACTGCAAGACCCCCGAAGGCCGCCACACGCGGATCTAAGAGGCACGCCGTGGATATCCACTCGCACGCAGCCCCAGCCGCAGCGAGGTGCCCTCGAGAACTCGGCTCCCGAACCCCAAACCATCATCGTAGACGACGCCACCCCATCCCACCCGATCCGACGTCCAACCCGCCAATTACTCAATCGGCAGGGCGTCGGGGACGGGAGCGGGCAGGCTGGGCTCGACAGGAAGACCTATCGCGATATCAAGACCGTCCCAACACGCACCGACTCCCCAACAAAAAGGGACTCTCCAGAACTTGAGCGTGGCCAATGCAGCATTGGAAAATGAGGACTCCTCCTCCTCCCCATGACACGCCAGGAGTGGATCATGATCAAAAGATATGCCCGAGCGTACCCTGCGGAGCACGGCGATATTGTCGCTGGGAACAACGCGCTCCTGACCAAAACGTTCGCAATCCGCCAGCTGCCGCGCGACGGACCCCTCCATTAGTCCAAAAGCAGGGCTTCAAGCACCGGTGCCACATTCGAAGACCCCTAGATTGTGGCCTGGATGGTGCTCAAGAATGTGCTGATGGTGCCTGCGCTGAATACCAGCAATCAAGAACTGCTTGAAATCTCTAAAAAGGTGTAGTCCCCAAAGCATCCCGTCTGAGGAATGGAAAAGACAATGGACCATCCGATCCTCTTGAGCGTGAGCTGAGCAGGGACCGACCGTCCCGGCATTCCTATAGTCATACCACGAAATGTTCTTAGAACCCCAAGCTGTTCTGAGAACAAAAACACTGTTCTTAGAACACAAAACCGATGTGATAAAACAAAACAGACTCCGCCAGAAATGCTCTAAGAACATCTCGTGGAAACCACCAAAGGTTCTTAGAACAGTATGTGGTGGGGTATAGGCGAGCCAGGACGCTTCGCCGCTGCTTGAGTGGAAATGAAGTTGGAAAGTGTACCCTGGACCCCCCGCCACGCCGGTGTGGCTAGCAGGCGGAGCCCCAAGAGTCGCCGAACCCTTCCAGAGCCACCGCGGGGAAAAGATTAGTTCCAAGCTGCCAGCACGTGCTGCGTGACGGGCCCAAGCGCGCAATGATGTCTAGGCTCGTAAAACCGACCCCTCCTGGGTAGGGAAAAACAAGAGCGGCACCAAACATGATGGGGTTACTGCTGGCTCCCGTAAGGGAGGGGGCCTTGCGCCAGAACTCGCGCAGACGGGCATCGGGGATCCCCGAGACTACCGCTCCACGAGCGGCCGAACTGAGCAGGCCAGTCCCCCACAAGCCGGCCACTTCAGAATCAACGGCGCTCCGAAGAGAAACCATTCTGTGCCAGCGCTGCCGGAATTTCCCAAGACGAACCCCCTCCCACTGGCGCCTCTGACCCGTCCTAGGAAGTTCGTGTCCAAAATCGCGCGTGTGGCGCCGACTCTTGACCTTGCGCGCAGGCGCACCAAAACTGAACCTTCAGGCCACCTTCAGCGCTGCAAAGAGAAGCCCGCTCTCGACGGGTTGCGGGGGGAAATCGAGGAGCTTCACCTCGTCGCAAAAAAAAAGCAGCGCGGAAAAATGCACGTGCCTCCTCGGCCCGCCAGCCCAGCCATTAGACACTGACGTCGTCGATGAAAGGCCGCGGGATGGCCAAATCCGAGGCCAGCTTGACACGATGGGGTACACAGTGCGCCAGCACTCCAACCAACGTCGTGGCATGCATGCACCCTGCCATCGATCCCTGCCAGGAGCGGTGGGTCTGACTGCAACAGCAATAGGCGCGCAAGTAGCAAGGCTCGGAGAAATATGCCAACAGCACCCACAGCATGAGCAACGGGAAGCAACGGCCCCTAGCCTCCGCGAGCAGTGCCGCTGGCCTCACCCACTCAAAGCACTTGAAGGCATCGTGGAGGACGGTCAGCGAGTGAACTCCCAGCAACGTCTCCGTCTCAGCATGCAAGTTGTGCTGGAAGGCCGATCGCGTGCCGAACATGAGCGGACTGGGATGATCGGCCAACCACGCCGCGGCCAAACCCTTTCGCATGCGACCCCACACCCGCATCAAGGACGGACTGCGCCAACGCGATCACGTTGTAACCACCTCCTTCCTTGGGCAACGGGACAAGTTCATTCAAACTTCCCTGGGACGCCCAGCGCAGCAACGCCTTGCACCGCCGAAAGATTGCGAGCAGACCCTCTAGAGCCATGTCCGACAGGAACGGGACAGACAAAGGTGACATGTGCAGTTCACCCCGAGGCCGCTGACGAAGAGAGTGTCGCCAGAGCAGCCCCGAACTGACCTGCCGGTGCGCCAGGCATGTCCCAGGGGGACGCGTCCGAGGGCAGATGCAGCTGCCACCAACCCATAGGTCCTCCAGATCTCCTTGCAGACCTCCATGGCATCGCTCGCGGAGGCAGAGGGGGAGGCGCCCAGCCTGGCTTTGAGGACCTCCTGCAGCGCTTTGACCCTGAGGGCCCCGCGCGCGCCGCGAGCTTCGCGCAGGACGGCGTCGCGGGCCCACTCCACCCCCTTGGCCTGGCTCTCCTTCCGAACCCTGGCCCCGAGGTTGTCGGCCTTCCCGGCGATGGTGAACGCCGCGTCCTCGGAGTCGCCACCAAGCGGGGCCCGCCCGCGCTTAGAGAAGAAACCCGCGGCCCGCGCCTCCAGGTGCCGCTGGCGCCTTGAGCTGAGGATCTCGTCAACGAACCTCGCTAGTTCCACCAGCCTTCTGCGCGTAGGTGGTCCAGAGAGGCTCCTTTTCCAAACCCTCCCTCTTCCCCTTCGGGGAGGGCTTTACCCCCCCCTCCCCCCTCCACTGGACCTGGAGTGAGGGTGTCGCGAGCGGTGGAGCGTCCAAGATGGCCCAAGACGGCCCCAATAGGGCCTCAGAGAGCCCAAGCTGACCTCCAAGATGGCCTCAGATAGCCCAAGATGCCTCAAGATGGCCCAAATACCGCTTCACGGCGGTTCCAACTGGCCACGGAGCGTTTCACGGAGGCCGCCATGAGGCCGACATCCTTCAAACACCAGAAGAGAATCAATGATTTGTGCCTTCTCGCCTTCTTGCTTTCGATTGCCTTCCGGGGCCTCAATTCAGCTCCAAGAGAGCTCCGGAGAGCTCCAAGGGAGGCCTGAGAGAGCCCCACGAAGGACCCAAGAGCGCCCAAGAGCGCTCCAAGAAGGGTCCAAGAGACGATTCTGGGCACCCTGGAGGAGCAAGGGTAATTGGAGACCCCCCCTTCTGCAATCGATGTCCTCCAAGATGGCGCCAAGAGCGCCCCAAAACCTCCCAAGAGCGCCCCAAGAAGGCCCATTGTACTCCTCCTCCTCCTCCTCCTCCTCCTCCTCCTCCTCCTCCTCCTCTTCATCCGCTAATTTCTCCCCCTCCATCTTCCCTCCTCCCTCCTCCCTCCTCCCTCCTCCCCACCTCCCTCCCCCACCTCCTCCTCCTCCTCCTCCTCCTCCTCCTCCTCCTCCTCTTCCTCCTCCTCCTCCTCTTCCTCGTCACCTTCTCCTTCTCCTCCTCCTCCTCCCCTCCTCCTCCTCCTCCTCCTCCTCCTTATCCTCCTCCCTTCCTTCTCCCTTCCTCCTCCGCCGCTCTCTCATCCAACTCTTCTGTTTCCCCCCCCACTTTCTCGTTCGGAAGTTCCGCGAGGGCGCATATAGGGCTTGCTCCTGGGCATCGTTCGTGGATGGGCTGGCGGCATCAACTGCCCGGGCGATCCCGCGATGCTGAGCGGAACAGCCAGGACCTTCCCCTCCGCGCAACCGGTTTCGGAGGGAGGCCCGCGCAGCCTTCCAATGCTTGGCCCAGCGTGCCGCGCGCGCCCAGGCCCGAGTGACGGCGTCGGCTCCGCGGCGCCTCCCGGGTCGGACCCAATGCACATGCAGCCGCTTGTAGCCGAGGCCGCCTGCCCGGCAACTGTGCCGCGAAGCCTGTCACCGACCAGCGCAAGCCTGCCCAGGAGCTCAGTCTCCAGCCCCGCCAGGACGGTGACCCGCGCCTTCTGGAGAGACGCGTCAGCGCTGGCCTTCAGTATCGCATGCTGCATGAGATGCCACGGTCCTGGCGGGCGCCCGCAGCCCAGCTTGGGAAGCGCGGGGGTTCGCCTCGGCTCGCCCAGCACACGCAGGACGGGGGGGTGCCACCAGCTAGTGGGGAGCCAGGCGGGAGTAATCGGGCACACGCGGCCTCCGCTATCGACTGGCCTGGCTGGCGGAGCACACAAACAAGTCAATGCAGCTGGAGCTCGCTCAGCGCCGGTGGAGCCCAGCGCTAGGATGATGTCCTGCAGCGCGCGCGCACATTCGAGCCCCAGCGTACTCGCCTCCATGTTGAAGCCGCCAGCTACAATCCAGTCGTTGCAATGGGTCGCCACCGCGGTGACGCTGCGCCAGAGCTGCGCCACCAGGCGCTGGCTGGCGGAGCCCATCGCCTCGCTCGTGAAACAGTAGCCAGGGAACGCATGTAAGCCCCCAGGCACTCCCCGGCACACATGGGCCGCGCATGTCCCGCCGAACTTCACGACGTGGAACGCCAGGCCCTTGGGCACCGCCACGGCGATGTACGGCTCAGTGACCATACCCGCTCCGCCCGTGGTTCCTTCCCCGCTTTCGGACTGCACGGCAGGAGCCCGCAATCCTCAGAAACCGAGGTGGCGCACCTGGTCCTGCAACTCCCAGAGCCGATCCTGCATCCTGTGGTGCTCCTGGAACGCTATGACCTCGGCGGAAGCCTCGTCGTCCCAATTGCTGGACTCAGTTTCCCAGTTGCTGGCGCCGTCAGGGGGTGCTGCAGCGCGGGCGCTCTTAAGCGCCACCGGCGAAGCTCCGGCCGGGTAGACTTCACCGCCTCCAGCAGGGGTGCAGTGTCTGGCGCCGCCAAAGATCTATGCGGCGCTTGCACTGGCAGCCGCCCCCCACCAAGGTGGGAAGATGGTCTTGGGGGCAACGCTTATCGGAAGCACTCCCAGGCGCCGCCGGCGTAGCTCTGGCCAGGCTAACGTCGCCGCCTCCAGCTGGTGGGCAGTGGCTGGCGCCACCAAGGGGCCCTGCAGAGCGAGTGCTGCCGGCCGCGGTCAGGGTGGACCCAAGCAGAGGGCCCGAAACACCACGCAAACCATGCTCGAACCGCCCCGCTGCAGCCAGCGCGCCCTTGCCGCGAGGCCAAAACCTGCGATGGCTCCGGGTTCGAGCGGACAGACAGCCAACGCAACTTGCTGCCCGTCACCGCAGCGAAACTCGACATCACCATGCTGCGAATGTAGGAAAGGCGTGCCACCTTGGGAAGCCCGCCAACACACCTAGTACACGACAAGGCCAGTGGCCGCACTAACCGCCCTGCACCCAAATGCCCCTTGGCTGAGGGTCACAGGTCACAGGGCAGCGGCTTGGACTCCGACCTGATCGTCCTCAACAGGTACCCGCGCGCCCGACTTGTGCAGGAGCGCCCGCAGCTCCTCCATGGAAGGCTCCGAGGGCAGCTCCGAGGCCTTAGCCGCGTGGCTGCGATCTCTCTAGGGTCCGCTCCGGCAGACGCCGTCGCAGCCCCCTGTAGCCACGGGGGCGACCGAGCAGGCTGCGAGGCAGGCGGCGCCTCGCTGGAGGCCGCGCGGCGCGCCTCAGCGACCTCCTGCTGCGCGGCCTGCACCGCGCGGCCCACGTTCGCCGAAAGCTCCTCGCCGCCACCGTGCTGCTTGATGAAGGCTTCCAGCTCGTCGACCGAAAGCCCCAGGCCGATGGCTGCGTGTTGGCCGGCGGGAGGTCGGCCTCACGTGTCGGCGCAGGAGCCAGGGCGACCCGCCGCTACACCTCGCCACGCTGCTACTGGAGATCCAGGTGCTCGCGCCGCTTCTCCTGCAGCAGCCGTTCACGTTCCAGGATCGAGGCCTGCAGCTCTTCAAGTTACTTGTGCTGAGCCTCCACCTCCGATTCAAGATTGGCCACGGCCACGCCGACCATGTCGCGCTCCCGCATGAGCCGCAGGACCTGCGCCCCAACGGGCTTGGCCGCGCGTTCCTACGCGACCAGCTCCGCGCGCCGCTTCATGAGGCCATCAGGCAGCTCCTTGGAGATGTCAGCGATATCGGGGTTGGAGAGTTGAGCGGCCTTGGAGCCCAACGTGATAGTCTGGATCGCGATGATATCCTGGCCATCGTTCCCATTCGATCTCTCGACTCTCATGCTGCCGCAGCCCCCGGCTGCGTCTGCGCGCGTAGACGTCTCGGCCTCGAGCTGGCGTTCCAGCCCCTCGATATTCTTGACCATGCGTTTCTCGTTGTCGGGCGGGCCCCCAGCCGGGCTGCGGCTGGGACGGACATGCGGCGTTTCTTGCTCGGCGTGCCTGCAGAAACCAGCCCCCATGAACCGCTTGCACATGAAGACCGCAATGTCCCTGGCCCAGTTGACAACTGGCATGCCAACCGTGGGGCCCACGCTCATGCTTGCACTTGCTGCAGTACCACTCCTTCCAGATGCGCGGCCGAGGCGGCGCCGTGCTCCCTCGCCAGGCGCCGTCGCCCGCGCGGCCCGCTGAGCGCGGTGGGCCGTGCGCCTGCAGGAGCTCACTGACAGATGGTTGTAGACCGGCGGCACGGGAGCCCCGAGCCGGCCCCTCGGCTGAGGCTACAAACTCCTATCGCCAAGGGCGCGCGCAAGGAACTTGAGCCAAAATGGCTACGGAGGAGGAGGAGGAGAGCACGCGATTCTCAGGGCGGGCCAGGTGCGCCAGCAGCCGCAGAGGCGGCCGTAAGAATATGAAGATCGCGCGGCGTCTGCCGTTCGCTGCTCTTGAGGCTCAACGCATGAAGAATGCTTACTGCTGGCTCCCCCTCTGTCCAATGCCCATTGTGTTTTTCTCAATTGACGTGCCCCGCCGTCCACCCGCACGGCGCTCGCGCCCTGTTCCTTCGGAGAATGGCATGGAGCTGAAACTGTGCCTGTGCGCCTCCGTTCCCGCGTGAGCCTTCCTCACAATCGTTTAAGATTCGCGCTCTCGGGCCAACCTCCCACGGAATCCTACCAGCCCTTTGGGCTTAGGTGGTCTGGAGTGGTTCCTCTTTTGCCCCTCCTTTTTCCTCCTCGGGGAAAGGTTTACCCCTCCCGCCACCCCCTCCCCTGGTCCAAAACGGCCTCGGCGCGGAAGCCAAAATCATTGGTTTTACAACGGTGGTTGTGGCCCCAATTTGGCCTCCTGAGAAGGGGGGGGGGGAATTGAGCCCCCCTCTCCTGTGATCCATTTCCTCCAAGATGGCCCCAAGAGGCGCCCAGGAGGCCCCAAAAGGCCTCGAGATGGCCCCAAGATGGCCCCATGTGGCCCCAAGAAGCCCCCAAGAGGCCGCCAGAATGCCCCCAAGAGGCTCCCAAAATACCCCCAAGAGGCCCCCAAGAGGTCCCCCGGAGGCAAGACGCTCCAAGAGGCCTCGGCGAGACTGCCAATATCATTGATTTTACAACGGTGTTGGCCACATGGTGGCCTCCTGGGGGGGGCACTGCTTCAGATGACTCCAAGAGCGTCTGGGGGAGCCCATGATGGCCTCCAAGATGGCTCAAGATATCCCAAGATGCCGCAAGATGGCTCCCACGATGCTCCAAGCGGCCCCAAGACCGCTTCAAGACGGCTCCAAGTGGCCAAAGAGCTCCCCCAGGAGGCCCCGAGGAGGCCAAAATCCTTCCAAAACCTAAGGACAATCAGTGTTGTGGGCTTTCTCGCCTTTTCGCTGACGGTGGCCATCCGAGACTCCAAGATAGCCCAAGAGGGTTCCAAGAGCGCTCCCAAGGCTCCCAAGAGCGCTTCAAGAGGGCCCCAAGAGGCGCCCAGGAGGCCCCGGGAGGCCCCAACAGGCGTCCCAGAGGCCTCCAAGAAGCCCCCCAAGAGACCCCCAAGAGTTCCCAAGAAGCTCTCCGAAGCGGGGCGCGCAAAGACGAATAGCTGGCGGGCTTACTTTTTGGTCGGCGGCTCCGAGGCAGCGGACAGGGGGCGGCAGGCGTCGCCTGGGCCAGCAGGCGAAGCGAATTAGCTACAACAGGCAACGCACTCTCCTGGTGGGCTTACTTTTTTTTTGATTTGCGGCCCGCAAGGAGAAGTCCAAAAGGCACGTCACTAGGCAATGGGGCGCAATGCCAGAAGATTAGGGGTGCAGAGGACCACTGGGCGAATGCCAACGGAAACCAACGAGTAGGCGCCCTGACGACGCCAGCTCGCAAGCGGAGCTGCAACAGATTGTCGGCAGACTGTGCACAAGCCAGGACCCACAGGTGGGGAAACCTGACCAGCACCTGTAAGGAAAGCCCAGAGAGCCAGACAATTGCACGAGCAGGTACCGGGCCAGAAAATTGGCAAGCGGCTGGACGCGCAGGCTGATGCCACGCGGCCCAACAGCCCGATGCCGGGAGTGCACATGCAAAGAACCACAGAGCGATTGCCAGCGGAAGCTACGAGGAGTTGCCCTGAAGGCACCAGCTCGCAGGGGGAAGCGCCACAGACGCAGGGCACAAGGCCTGCACCCCTGCAGCCACAAGGGACGTAGCCCGGGAAGAGGCAAGAGGACAAAGCGGGAAAGGAGCACAGAAGGCCTAGTAACGAGGCGGACTCATTCACAGAGCACCCCGTGCTCGTTGGTGGCCCTCCAAGGCCCACCCCGAGGAGAACAGACGACACCTCCCAAGTGTCGGTGGGCCAACCACCTGGAAATGACGAACCTGGTGGGCTTACGCGAAGCATCTATAATTTGTTCTCAAGAACTGCGTTCTCGCCTGAATCTCTATAGCATGTATTCGGGAATCGCGCTCTGGCGACTCAGGAGTCGCGCTCTCGCTCAGCACTTCGTCGCAATTATTTGGAATATCGCTTGTTTGTTCAGTCTTCCGTTCGCTGTACCTTGGTACCGCGCTATCGCCTGGATCCCCCTGCTGACATTGATTCAGGATTCGCGCTCTCGCCGCTCTGGGATCGTACTCTCGCGCAGTACTTCCGCGTAACACACTTACGAACGTGCTCTCGCCAGAGACATCCTCACAAATTAGCTGGGCGTCGGTCAACTGGACCCGCCTGAAGCGCCCCTGAAGGTCTGCCGCCCGGCTGGCCTGTCAAGGCTCGCCCGCGGAAGCCGCTTGCATTGCCCCGTCGGATGTTACTGCGAAGCTGACCTGGCAAGACCCCCGAATGGGGAACGCTCGTAAAGGAAAGAAGGTGGGGGCCGAGGGCTTGGCGCATACAGTTTGAACGACACGCGGGTAATACAAAACGAACAGTGTTGAATGATTGCCGTTGTTGGAACATGTTTGCCAGCACTTGCCCTAAACACTGAGTGCCTACGATTGCGCTGTGTACGTGCAAGCTCCGCGGTGCAACACATGTGTGTTGCATTTGGGTTTGGCGTGGGCTCTGTGGGGGCTGTGCGGTGTGAGCTAACTGATGCAGGGTGCGTGGTGCAAGTTCTGCGTTGCAATCGATGTTCTGCAAGCTATGTCTGGGGGGCAACGATAGGGGGGGACTGGCATAGGGGGTGATGCATCGACCCAGAATCGGCGATACATCGCCGGTAGATCGGCGATGGGGCCCCGAGGGTGAATCCGCACCTTCCTGGGCAGGTTGGGGCTATCGGGCCACTATCGGCGACCAATGGGCGATTGGGGGTCGATGCATCCCCCCCGATGCCTACCCCCCCCAATCGCTGCCTCCAATATGCCGTGCAAGCTCTGCGGTGCAAGCTCTGCGGTGCAAGCTGCCCGGCTGCCCGCGGCCGCCCGCGAGGCGCCTGCGGGCGGCAGCAGGCCGACGAGTCGGCGACGGACGCGCCCGGCGCACGGCGACGTCGACGAGGCGCCCACGGCCGGCAACGTGGCGACTCCTCGCTAGACATAGCCAGCGCAATGGGTGCCCACGGGGCGCCCACGGGCTCGGCCACGGCCGGGCGGCTTACCAATTGATCTCCTGATGGAGCCGAAACAGGAGCCCCAACTTCCGAGCACTGCTCGCAGAAGAGGCATCGAAAGCACAGGAACACCACCCCGCCCCTCCCGCAGAGGCAAGCGCCACGAGGCGAGGCAGAGGGACGCTCCTTCCCTCGCGTGACGTCTCCGCGCTGTGTTGCTGTCCGCCGCCGCCCACCAGCTACAATTGCGCAGCTGATGCTTTCTGAAGTTGTTCTCCTGTGTTTCTGCGCTGGGCTCTCGTTCCGAATACGGCGGCGCGGTGTCCCCTTCCCCCCCTCCTCCAGTTCTACCTGGCTGTGGCTGCGCTCTGTTTCCTGCCTCGCCGTCCTGCCCGGGGGATGGCTGGGGGGCTGCGATTTGTGAAACAGTTTCTACTTTCGAATGTTGCTCGGGCATCCCGCTGGGTGGCGTCCAGCGGGGCTCTGCCTAGACCAGCCCATCCCTAAGGTTGCTTAGGGCCCCGTTGGATAACGCCCTGCGCATATCCAGCCAAAATCTGGCCATCGCTGGGGGCAACATTCTGCAAAACTGCGCATACGTTGTCGAAAGCTGCTCGGGGACTCGCCATCGGTTTCGAGGGCTGCTGGGGTGGTCCATAGTAGTGACGCCCCGCGCGAATTCAAATCTGCCCTCACCATCCGCGGGGGCTGCGGGCGACGAACATGTCGCGACATTCGAGGGTTGCGGGGGGGAGGGGGGGGTCCAGCACAGTGGCGTCGCAAGGAGACTCAGACTAGTCCTCAGCATCCCTGGGGGCCGCCAGTTGCGGAACGATCGACACGTTTGGGGGCAACTGGATGTTCCAGCGTGGTGACGTCGTACGCGGGCGTAGATTCGCCATGAGCTCCTTCCCCGCGTGCCACCCGATGACCAGGTTGCGCGCCCGAGGGTGCGCAGCCCCCAGACTGAAAAGATACCGGACGGAATCCAAGAAACTCGCGGGCGAGATCGGCACCGCTCGCTTCTTGCACAATCTACGAACAGCTGATCCTTTGGAGCGCCACCGAGGCAGGGCGCGGACCGCGCTGCTTGTTCAGATCGCGACTGAGAAGTAATCGCCACCATCCTTCCTCATCCTGCCTCATTCGTTGTCGTCGTTCGCCCCCTTGCACCGTCTCACTGGCGCTGTCTTGTTAACTGTTCGGCCTCTCTGCCGTCCTTCTTCTGCCATGTGTTCCCACCCGCAAATATACCTCCAACATGAGGCCTCAGCCCTCGTCAGTACGTCGCTGCCCTGTGAGTCGTGCGACGCGTCTGCTCCCCATACAGTTTGCAAGCCAATGCCGAATCCTGCGCCGCCATCACACATACTATTCTGCACAAGCTCCTCTTGCAACTTCATGCAAAACAATTGTTTTTTTTCTGGGCGGGCCAGATGCAGACTCAAGCGCTCGGAGGCGTCGGAGCCGCCAGCGTCGCCAGCGCCGCGAATTCGGAAAGGCTGCCCGTGGCGTGGCGCACGTCGTGGTTGGAGCAAGGCTTGCCCCCGCGCTGGCAGCCGCTCC